CGGAGAACTCGTCACAAAAATGTAAAAGTAAAGAGATTAATGAAAGGCTTTTGCGTTTTAGTTAAACCTAATGTCGCGAGCGATCATCAGAAACAAACGTCCACCCTCAATTTTTGTGGAAAAAAATGGCGGCCCCTTTGCGCGTGAGAACGCGTATCAGCCAAAGCAAATATGCCAAAGCTAGTTTTGAGCGTAGCGATTTCATGGAACGCTGGACGTTTGCGTTCATTGTAAATCGGAAAAAGAAATATCAGGACATGTTTGCATAGATGACTGATCAAACCGGATTTGAAAAAATCAAAACTGCCTGATCAAGTTTTTGATACTTAGCCAATATTTTGAATCCATTCTATTTCTACACATCTGCAGCGTTCCTTTCTTTGGAGTAGTTTGTATACTCTCTAGGATTTCACACTTCTCAAGAGTTTGTCCCATGTAGTTTCTGCTCGAAATTTCACAGTTTGCAAAATGACTTAACTAGAATATTTACTGCTTGTTTCTGGTCCAGCTCAGTAGTCCTTGTTATTGTTCACACCTTCATAACCATATTCTATGATCAGAACAATAGCTCTCAGAATGGATTACGCGCTCGCTGACTACTTGTCGCTTTCGTTCTGAATTCGCCTTCGCTCATGCATTCTTTTATAAAAGGTAAATGGGCTTTTATAAAAGCTGCTTTTCTTTCCGAGAAAGTCCTAATAAAGCAAGCTTTGGAGCTTTGCCTTCAGTGCTGTAGTTCCAGGATCTTTTTCTTTCTGATAACTTTTCCAAAGCCACTTTTTGAACCTTGTCGTGAAGATCCCGCATGAATGAGCACAAAATCACAATTTATAGATGCATACTTCAATCGCAACCCGTTTAACGAGCACATTGAGATATGTGTACGAACGCAGAAATCCATAGCCTTCGGCGTTCATCCGCTCTAATCCGGCTAGAACACGCGTTCTGTAGTAGCGAACCTACTATGAGCGCGATTATGCATGCGTAGGATTGGGTGTTCGAGTAACGAATCCTCAGAGTCTAAGGTTACATTGTGGACCCGGCTGACCAGCAGGATTCATTATCTTCCCAACTTATGCTGGCGTTCGCCTGGTTCCTGCGCTATCTGGGTGAGTTTTGGCGCTAGAATGAGTCTTGAAGACGATTTTGCTTCGTACAGATTAGCTGCTTAATGGTCTAAACAGATAATGGGTTTGGAAAATTTTTCGGGTTTTTTGTAACTGTGTAGATGGGTGTCCCACTTATCTCAAGCTATCTCATATACGTACATAATGCAAAGAGAAAAAAGTTCTCTCAATCGCCCGGTGTCAACTCGATGTCAAAGCCTCATATTTTACACAATTCCCTTCCTTTGTGACGATTTTTTTGCAAGGTCAAAACAAATATAAACAGCATGCTAGAGTAGAACAGCGTGACAATTTTATCTTCAAAATTTTCTTGATATGATACATCGTCGAAAAAACATTATGCATTTCCTGTTTAGCTTTTCTTTGAATATCCGCTGCAAAGTAGCCATTGCTGTCGTAGTTTCACTCATGATGCGCAAAGTTGAAAACGATGATAAGGGTCTATACTCTCATTGTACTAAATTTTCAAAATTATTGAAGAAGATCAAGAAACAAATCAAAAGGTCTTTTTCTTCTCCAGTTCTCGGCACAGGTGGCTTATAAGCAAGCTGGATATCGTTTTCGCGGTCTAAAAAATCGAAACTTAGGTCACGTGTTTTTTTGTGGACGTTTCATTTCTTTGTTTTCTTACGTTTATGGTTTAGGGTCAAAAAGTCCTTCGTAAAATTCAAAAAAATATAAAGGGGACTTTGTTTTTTGCATTTTCGGAAAGCCACCTCGTGCTGAGCCGTGTTCTCCTTTCACCATTTGTCCTTGTTCATCTCCGTTCCATACCCATCCTACGGCTTGATTCATATTAGTGAAATTTGTTTCTACAGTAGATTTTAGATTTTGATCAGCATTATCATTCCGAAGAATTTTATATTACTACCAAATGTTTCAATCTTTGTTTCGCAATCCCTGGGTATAAATGGATGATGGGCTATTCTAAACCACTATGGAATAGGTAATATGGAATATAATAAATCAAATCATCATAAAAGAATGTGACATAACTAACTTCCTGACGAATACCAAATGGCACGTTGCTTAAAAAGGGTTGCATTGTGAGAGAAGGTCAGAGCAAATGGAGCTTTTTCGATGCGAGTCCAGAATTCTTTGATATTTCTGGACTCAATGTTTGAGGGTTGAGAGGAGCTCTGATAAAAAAGCCGCAAAAATCTCTTTACCTCGGACTATAGGTTCGTGCAAGAGGTTGTACCCTTCATTTTGGATCATCTTCTGAAGTTATTATACCAGCATGGATATGCAAAACTGTACTGTATATAGTATATAAGATGTAATATTTCAAAAAATCTGGGAGAGTTGAGAACTTATCGTGTTTTGGAAAAACATGAGAATCACATCTCGTGGAGGGTTCTGTTCAACACAAATGTAGTTCTTAGTAGGAAAAAGTGAACCATAGGATTTATATTGATGTAAGAGAGTTTTGTTACAACCACTTAGCATTCTTGGATCTAACTATAATACTAACCAAAAAACATTACTTTAACGACCTGAATTCCTTGAAGAGCTTTGATACTGGCAGAACTAGTGGGTCTATCCTCTGGCCAAAATTATTAAGACATTCAATTATAATGCAAATTATAGGAGAACGTATGAGCATGGAGTTCCGGGTTTTGGATCATTTTTTTGACTTCATGTTAAGGGCCGAGCATACTTCACGCGATTTCGTCGCGACGCGACTGGCAATATTCTGACTGGCCATAGCTCACTTTAAGCACATTTCAAGTGTTGAAAGATAGGGTATTTTATCTATCCACGTAAGTCATACACATTATGCATGTGCAGTTTGCTAGTGTAGAATCTGAAGACTTTCGGCGTATTGCCAAATGCGTCGCGACTGAAATCGTGTGAAGTATGCCCGGCCGTTTAGGCACCACCTACACTCTATGCTCATAGTGACTAAAAAGCAGCTTTAAGTTCTTCTTCTGGACTTTGCAAGGGCTCCATTAATCTGCAAGGCGTATTGCGTTACTCGTAACTCCTCCAAAACATTTGCTGAATTGCCGATACAACCGGCGACAAGCGTCGAGCGCTAATTTGTGGCGCTCGCTCTTTTTGCAGGTGTTGTTCGTAGTGTACGAACGCTGGTCCGCGTGGCAGTATATCGCATTCTCTGTCTGTTTTTTCTGCTGTTCGGATCTATCAGGGCTATGTTCCCGACCGAGCAGCATAGTTTTGCTGATCTTTCGCCGCTAGAAAATATATTAGCAAGGCTGGAGATAAAGAAAGGGTTGCAGAGACGATGCAAAAACAGCAAATTCGCAAGGTTTCTAAAAAAGTAGTTTCGCATTTTTACGTCCTTTAGCCGCAATAGTCTTGTCTATGGTCTGATAGAAATCGTAATAGTATAACTTCATGGCTAATTTTTATAGGTTTGCAGTACCGTACTATATAAATGAGAGGAATCCAGGACTGCGGGGCGGAGTCACAAATCTAGATTTTTGTGCTAGATTTTCAGCCAAAAAACAGCAAATACCTATATGACCGGCGCCTACTAAATACTGTTTAGTAATTGTAAGCAAATGCGAATTTGCAGATATTGAAAAAAATCCGATTTTTGGCATTGAAATTCAAAAACATCTGAACTCTAGGAAAATAATGGATTTAGAATTTTTGAGGGCCATATAGAGTCGGCTTTGCTTTACCGAATTCTCCCCCATTTTCTTTCTAGTCTACTGGTTGAGCAATCAGTGACATGTTCTTTTTTTCAGAGATTACGTGAACATATTCATCTATTCGAAAACAACTGTAAAAAAAACGGAGGTTCTGAATTTATTCTGGTTTTTTTTGTGAGTGGGAGTGAGTTATGTAAAAGCATTGCACTTCGATATGATTATGAAGAGTTCATGGAAAGTCCACAATATAATCCCGGACGCTCATTCCAGAGGTGCATTAATCAAGAAAAAGCAGAGCTTATCCTTCGCAAAGCTGACATACTGCATTAGCATCAAGCTAAATTTCGTACTCCAAAAATCTTGCACATTAGCCGGGTAATAGCCGATTGAAGAAGAGCACATTGTTTGAATAGGTTTGACCAGTTTTTTATCGTGCTATACAGTGACTCTCGATAATTGATTACTGATTTAAAAAAGACTCTGTCCCAATCATTTCATGAAAATAGCAAAAACTTTCCTCTATTTAAACTTGGAACCAACGTGAGAAGAATAATTAAGAAGAATATAATTTTACAGACTATATTCAAAAAAAAGTTCACAGGGTCGTGAGCTCAAATTGAGTGTATCATGAATTTTGTTGCATACGCTTTTTGGGGAAGAGGTGCAGTTATGCATACAACTATTTGACTGAAGTATTGTTTTTCTTAAAAAGATTATTCAAAGAAAAATGAAGCCCTTTGTTGAAGTTCCGTTCACTTTTCTTATTTGAGGCAGTACTATAAGTAGATCTGACTAGTGCTTCTGTTAGCTGAAACTTCCATTACACAATCCCCTGTGTTCGTCCCAAAAAACTAAAAAAATTCAAGTGTACTATACGTTTTAAATGAGAAGAACAACCATAAAAAGTGGCATCTCAATGTTTTTCCTCAAATCGACTTTTTTTTGTCCTCGTATCAGTCGTAATGTGAGGTCTTGAGGCAAGTGGTGAGGTGCGGCAATTGATTGGGATCAGAAAAAGCCCAAAGAAACTTTTGTGCATCTGCAAAGATAGTCTCAATGAGATTATTTTATACAATTTAAGGCTTCTTTTTGACATAAGTGACTAAAAACAGCTGGCAAAAGCATATGGAGCAGGAGTGCTGACCATTTTGTATAACAGAAAATTTTTAAAATCCTATCGTCCTTCCTCTTTAGAATGTATTGTGCGATCTGCATAGCAACTCTTAGCAAAAATAAATTGTCCTCTTTTCAGGTTATCGAATTCGTCCGGACGATCCATCCTACGAGAAGGACAAACAACATGTGCCTGTGTCTGTATCCGACTACGAGAACGTTCAAGAAGTGAAGGAGTGCGTCGACACACTTTCCAGGTCTTCTTTTCAGAAACCCTAACAAGAACTTCGCGTATGATAGCGGTCAAGCAATTCTCAGAATGTGGAAAATCTTTTTAAAAAAGAAGCAAAATTTTGAAATTTAGTGCCACAACATAAGTGCATGGCAAGTTCGGCAAAATTAGTTTTCGACCTCGTAAATTTTGTTTACAGCCCTCACATCAAACGATGGTGAATTCATTCCAGAGTAGTCCTTGGAAGAATACCACCGGTATAGTTCTTATTGTTAGTCCCGACAGTAAGACATGTTCAAAAATGACTGAACCTTTTGCGTTCCTTGTCATTTTCCGTCAAATTTTTACTACAAAAAACTCAAAATCTTTAGAAACTTTTGAATAATACACTACATAAATGCTATCAAATTTCCACTTCCTTCAGCTCAAAATTCAGCTCAAAGAGCTTTTCCAATGCCTTGCTGCTTTCCATCCCATTTATAATTTCCCCAATGCAGAAAAGAACACTAGGGGGAGGATAGAAATGAAGTTTAGAATAAATGTTCCTTTTTTCTACGGGCATCTCAATTTCGAGCTCGCTTTTTTCTGCAGAAGAGGGTATGGTACTTTGGTCTTTTTACCGTGTAAGACAGATTATGTCTGTACAGATGGCAGTCCAAGATTTTCCTCCGGAGGGGGGGGGGGTGGGAGAGGGGAGTTAATTTTTTGAATGAAGGTGCGTGGAGTTAGCCATGAGTCCGAAAGATTTTACCGAATGCTGTCTAAATTTTTGCACTTTCACAATCATTAAAAAGGGGTGTGGCAGCAGGCGCACCCAAAATTTTTACAAAATTAATCAATATTTTCGAAATTATTGAAAATCATTTTGATCGCTTACAGGGTGGAAAACTTACTTGCACATTTCTATACATGATGTAAATAACTTTCAAAAATTTCGCGACATATTCTCGGAAGCGGGATGGGGTCAGTACGTTTTGCTTTCCTACTTGCTTTCCCAAATTCCTGATTTCCTTCGAATTATCACTTTATAATGCCCTCCCCTCCCCCCAGTTTATGTGCCACAATCATTTCACTCTGTTTTACATCAAGTTCCAAGCATGCGACAATCTTATTCTTGCAAGTTTTACTGCGATTATGTCAGTCCCCTTAAAGGGTGCATTTTTTTGTTGTATTTTTCTATCTCTTGTGCCAGGAGCTTTTCATAGATGAGCATAAAAAGGTGTAAAATTAGTTCTAAGCTAGGTTATAAGGTTGCTGCGGTTTCGCCGGTGGTAATTGCCGTAACAGTCTTTTTTTCAAGATTGTGGCCTATTGTATCTCTTACTTTTGTAGTCGTTTCAGAGTATTTGATTAGATAAGTAAATAAACAAACTGGAAGCACGCGCAGTAAAAGTGCTAAGTTGCGCGACCATAGTCGATCATCGTCCACGCTAACATATACGCGTAATGTTTTCATGTGAATCAGTAGCGACATTTGCATAGGCTCCCGTACTTTATACGTCGTTTTCCCCAGCATAAACACCCATTGTAAACGATAACCATTTCTGTCCGATCGAATTAATCCCCCGTACTTTGATCCGATTTGAAACAATCTGTGTGCAGAAGCCAGTCCGCGCGCAAAAACCGTCATTTGAGCGCGGTCATTGCTGGAGTTTGTTTGCCGAGCATTATTGTGCGTATCAGAGGGCCGAGAAGACTTCCTGATTCCAGTTGCTCAATGGAGTCGAGTGTGGCACTGAGTGTTGATTCGACGCTCACACTCACCGAGAGGGACACTACTCCCACTCCAGTCAATGGGCTACTCACCAGGACCCCCGTGCTGAGGAGGCGCAGAAGCAATGTGCATGCAAACCTTAGGAGAAATTACAGGTTTGTAAAAAAACATTTTTGGTCTGTTATCTTTTCGTATATACATAGTGCCCTGCGCTTTCGACAGCACTTGCGCGTAAAAAGTGGGCATAGATTACCAAATAGTTCACACACGACTACTTCCCGCATCACAAACACAGCAATTTTTACGCGCAACTGCTGTCGGCACCGCAAGAGCACCAAAGAGAACCCTCTCTTTGCACTAAGCGAAAGAAAAAGCAACCGCAGTTTGATAGAAAAAGAAATAGGTGTTTTGCTCATTGTGTATTTATCATTATTTTTACATCTGATGCTTTTTATAAACATCCTTTTGGATATTGATATGCAAACATCGCGCAGTTCAAACTTCCACTCTTTTCTTCTCTCTCAAAGAAAAACTATTGGGTACGGTTTAAAAATGATGGCTCTCTAATGTTTGTTTGTTTGATCCCTTGTAGATGGTGCGAAAGTGTTGGTTTTTATTGAAAATACATGAATTTTCATGCGCAATTCATAGTTTGTCCGTAATGCTATCGTGCTATTCATTGCATTTGAAAAAGCTAGTTATCGTCGAGTCCTTCCTAACTTAATGTGCGTAGTGCACACTATACACGTTAACTGACGATTGCAAAACTAGAATCTGCTCATTTCTAGTGATTTCTCCTTGTTTCCTTGTCTCTTTTGTTCTTGTTGGTTATAGTTAGGTGATAGAACACATTTCTATACTTTGTTAGGCTAGAAAATGTTGCACCGGAAAGTTACTGGTTGGTGCCGTCGCTAATAAGGCTTAGTGTGCAATCTCACACATTAAGTTACAAATGACCCGAAAATATTTAGTGTCAGCTCTCAAAACATTGAAATCATTGCATCAGTAAGCTCAATGCTTTTCGTGTCGAAATTTTTCTGTAGGTAATCGCGTTCTAGTTTGAAAGCTGGTGACCAGCGTTATTGATGATGTTCGTCCTAATTTCGAAATCCAAGCTTGCTCATTTTTGCAGTAATTGTTCATTTGCAGCAAGCAAAGCGATTGTAAGACTACTTAAACTATCTTTCTAAACATCGTTGCCGACTACGTTAACCACTGTGGGCGCAGACAGTACCATTTAGACGAACTGAAACCCTTCCTTCTGAATAATTTTCGGCATACTATTCCTAAATTGATGTCATAGTTTTCTCTCGGTAATGCACGCCTTTATTTTCTTGCACTTGGGGAAACTATGCGGTAATAAGAAATATCTGAAGCATCTTATCTGATGGCATTCGCACGAGGAAAAATGTCACATGTCGTTGCATAATACTTAAGAACGTAAACATTCCCGGAGTTTTATGATTCACTCATATCAGGCTGGTGGATTTCTGAAATTTCTCAGATCAGAATCAAGGCAAATAGTTTGTTACCAAAAACTTGCTTTGTGGAATTTGTTAGTTTAGAAGCTACGTCTCAAATTACTTCACTAGCCGTCGTAGTTTTATAACGTCAATGTTCGAGGTGGACAGGGCAGTTCTTCATAAGACTCTGCTCACATCTACTTTTCCTGCGAGTGAAATGTGTTGATGCTTAGGTCGATTTTGCTGTGATCAACTGTAAATTTTCTTATTTGTAACTTCCCCTCTCGAGCAAAACCTGGGAGGATACTTTGAGGAACGATTTTCTCGAGAAGACCTGACAGGCGAGTAGTCATAGTAGCTCATTGTCAGGTCAAGCAGATGTGATGGTGTGTCGTGCCGTTTGCAAGAAATTTTCGCAACTTCCGTCGGCTTTTGCTTACTTTTAGCGGCTCGGCCGAGTGAGTAGGGAGCAGCGTTCGTCAAACACCTGTCACTTGCAAATGTGCGTAGAGCTGAGTGCAAGTGAGCCGTACAGGAACCGACGACGATCATGAACAAAGTGCACCACTCGCTAACAGTTCGCGCGCGCGCGTAACTTTACACACATTTTTTGATGATGACGAGACAGCTGGCGAGGAGCGAAAAAAAGCATAAGGAGGGGAGGGCTGAGTGGGGCTGACCCAGAAGAACATCCTCGTTTTCATTGTGTGTGTACGGTGCACTAAAGAGTGCATTCACACAAATCATAGAGCTTGCCGCAACCACGTACGTAGCGTCTAAGTCCTTATGTCCTATCCGAGATATTACAAACGATGGTCCAGCGATTTTTTCTATCCGATCAGGTATGAGCAGCAAGCACAAACTCCTTTTCTTTTGAAAAATTACTCAAAATTATAACATTACTTTGGTTATCCAATCAAAAACGTTGCAACGGAAAAATGTATCACCATCTCCTCCAAATTAGGTATTGAAGACTCAACGCATTGGAATTCTTATGTTGTGATCTATCGTAAAAATAAAACAAATAAACAAATCAAGTAGTTGACAGATTGGTCAGAAAAAAATGTCCTTATATGAGGCTTTTTGTAGGTATTCTCTTGATCAAATCTAGGCCAGTTTTGGGTTTCCCACAATTTTCCGATGATGCATTCAATTTTCTGGAAAAGTAAATGCGCATCGATGATATATCCAATAAATCAACAGATCAATGAATTATTAACCATATAAGCCTCTCTTGAGCACCCTCTCGCTCAGGAACAACCAATTTCAGGTCTAGCAGTTAACTGTAGTTAATATTTCACTAGTCTTACTATTTTAGGATAATGGCACCTGATGAATCGATAATGATTCTGAAGCAGCAAAGTGGTATGATGGATGAGCCGCAGCAGCAATCGTCACCGAGAAGTAAAATTTTGCGACGAAAAAGTAGTCGACGAGAAAAAGATGTCATCAAGTAAGTTGGTGTTTCAATAAACTTATTCACCTTCGAAGTTGACTTCAAATGTGTAAAGAGCCATGATTATCGTGACAAATCATTTTCAATGCTTTGGACCCAATTTGTGGGGACGGTATTTTCGCTAAGATCAAAAATCTTTTCCACTTCCAAGTTTGTTCCATTTCTATCAAATTCAGAAGAATGTAAGTGAATTTGGAGCTAGTTAGCGAACAACTGAACAACAATTACTAGCTCCTGTTCTTAGCCAATTTTACTTCAAAACTTTGCAGTAGTCGATTACATATGAAAAAATATTCATCTTTCTTGCATTCTGCTTCGTTTCAAATTCAAAAGTGAGCTTATTTTCGTTTGTAATCTATGCAACAATGATTGGTTCTATACATTTGTGAATCTTCTTTCTACTATAGAGCTCTTCAGTGTCCAAAAATAGTCTGTTGTCCCAGAACAAGATTTTCAAGCTCAAAAAAGTCGAAATCGTTTTTGACTCTTCGCGCAGGAGCAGTTTAATTGTAAAGTTCGCTATAGGAAACCTCCACTGGGGTATGACTTTGTTAAAACTATTCTTTAGTCTCCAAAACCTTCTACCATTATAAATGGATCAAATTCATACTTATTGCAAATTCGAGTGCGAATTCAAAATGTTGAGATTCTCATGTTACATTCAAATTTTGCTTACTTGCACTTTCTTTGATGATTCATCTCGCACAATGCCATACAGAACTCAGATAATTGTCATATTTTCATGACTCATATTCAAATAGCTTTGATCAGCAGATAAAATTGAGAAGACCTCAGCATTTTATAGACTTTAGCTCTTCGAATTCTGTGTACAATAGCAGAAAGCGCGGATAGTTCAGAAATTCATTCTCTTTTTTTGCTGTTATAGAAAACACTGTTTTCTGTGCTTTTCTAGAAATCTCACAATGTGCATCTCAAACTCCTTTACATAGCAACAGATTGCACGAGTGTTGCAGGAAGATTTTTGGTTTTACGTTTACACTTCGAAGTATTTTGGGCCATGCTGAACATCTACTACAACTAGTTTTAGCCATTCTAAATTTATATCCAAAATCAACTACGAGTCAATGGCGCTTTTTGGGCAATGCTTTTTAGATGTGTACTTGTCGTTGTCGTACACACTAGCTGGGAAATGGTTCTAGAATAAGCAAACTGGCTGCAAATGTTTACATTTTATTGCCATTGCAGTAGCCCTATTGTTATGCTTGTTTTACCACAATCTTAGCTTACATCTGAGCCATTCACAACGTGCCTGCTCCATCCTAGCTTTTTCGAAATGTTATGTTTTTAAATAAAAATTGTTTAGAAAATCAAGTCTAGCGCAAGGTTTTTTGTAGAATCACAAGAATTCACCTAGTATTTATTAGTCCTAGTTTTTTTTCTACATGGCTATGAGAGGTAAATATTGGCTGAGGGTACGAATACGAATTCCAGAAGTACGTTTGCTCAAGTATAGCATACTCAAATTTCTAGTTCAAATTTCATTGCGCTAACAAGCGACGTTATCGGTAGCTGTAGCTTTACCCTAGCTTTCACATATCTTTATAGGTTGTAGTTAATCATATAAAAAGTTGCTTGATATTTTTCTTAGGAAAAAAACAAGTCGTTAGTACCTAGGAAAAAAATAACATCTTCGATTTCTTTGTTGCGGACACAAAATGGTCATTTGCACTTTCGACGGTACCTAGTGCCTGCGATTAAAAGTTCGCTATTGCAAGAGTCAAGCGATTTCCAAACGGAGCGGAAGTTTTGTTGATTTCCACTTGCACTTTTCCGCAAAACGACGACCATAGCAGCAAACCGAACTGCTTGTTACAAATGCATCATCGGTTTCCAAAAATTGTTATTGAATTCTAGATTTCTGCTGAACGTATAAATCAGTAGAATTGCACGAGTTAGTTCTCTAAGCTTAGAGGAAAACTTGCCGTGATTACCTCTCGTTTTGTATTTTCTATTCTCTGTATAATCTCATGTTTATTTACTATTTTGTATAAATTTCTCATCATAGCTATTTCTGTGCTTACGGTAGGGATGCAATAGAACTGAAACGTACCAAAGTCCATCCAATGGGTATACGTATCAGTGCGATTTTACGCGTTAGCTACTCATCTATAATTATTTTTCACAACCTCATTTTTCTGTGATTACGGTAGGCTAAGCAGTGGCGCCCCCCCCCCCCCCTCCCGAGAATAGGTCTCGAAATTTCAAAAGTTACTCCAATCGGAGATCCTGGTACGCCACTGGTATAAGGTGCATTCAAGTAAAATGTTTGAAATTTGTCAAAACTTTATATGGTACGAGCACATTACGTATTAATTGCGAGTTTTTTACTCATTTGCCACGATAGCCACTGTCAGAGGTTACGGTATGTACATGGTACAACTGGAACATACAAAAAACATAACCATCAGATTTATATGATAAAAGAGTATAAATATATTTATGTTTTCTATGTGTTACGCTCAAGCTTGCCCATCAGAAACGATGAAAGTTAACAAGGCATAATACAAATTCGAAACAAAAAGATGAACATCATTTTCATAGTCGCATATATTATTCTTATAATTAGCTACTTGCCACAGATTATAATTTACCAGGACGATTGCACTATAAATCTACTGACTCGAGTACATATTACAACACATAATGTCCATGCTATTTTTACAGTAATCTAATGTCTTCCTCGTTTTTCGCTTTCAGCACGTACCCAAGGACCATTTCAACCAATTTTCCAAGTTTTCCTTGTTTTTCACGCCATTCTGAACACCATTTTATATGTTTAGCCCTCCACCAATGGTGATCACCCCTCCAGTTCTGGTCAATCGCGTGCAAGCGTGCTCGTTGTGCTGTCGAGAGAGGAGGTACGTCCATCGCTTAGCTTTATTTACGCCCCATCTCCTCTCATTTTTCTCACCTTCATCTGCTCTCATCCCCTCATCTTTTTCTTACATCTCCTCCTTAATCGCCTTTCTTCACAATCCTAAGAGTACTTTGACAAATCACTTGCGTCACTTGCGCTCAGTTGTTACGTATTGCTACTCAGCTTCGCCCTCTTTGCAGTTTCAATCCATCTTTCCGAGTCTGCACTTTGCAGAAAAGTTTAACCTGAACTTTTGTTTTGCTGTATGATGAACAACTCATCGGTTGCTAAAAATTCGCCTCCATTTCCTTCCAGAAAAGAAGTAAACATGAGTGGGCAGAGCACGAACTGGAGTTTTGTCTGCGAACAAAAGTACCTGGCCAAATCATGACTTTCATTTGAACCCTTGATACAACCCAAAAGCGACACGAACTCGGCTCAGCAGCTCTTGAGAGCTATATACGCTCTTTGGCCTGCATGGAGAAATCACCTTACTTTTTCTATCATCCCTCTTCTTGGTTGCGTGAGACCGTATTGAAATTTCATGTGACCTTTTTGAGGTTGGTTGGTTGGTTCTTTTTTTTCTTTTCTTTTTTCACTTGGTTCTTTTTTCTTTCTTTTCAAAGACAACTAAATTTGACTATGAATTTGAGTAGCACATTTCCTATGTGGAAATTGATTTGTAGTCTCTTCGCTAAGCAGCGAGAGCTCACATTCGTTCCCTGTCCAGAATTATACACTAAGCTTTAGCGCAGCGTACTTTCTATCTTAACTAATTTCTTGACCTCGAATGAATCGCGCCTTAGCTCAGCTTAGTTGGTATCCACACAAGAAGTTCAATTACCAATTCTGCCTCGAAAAGCTCTCGATCGTGCTGGGTTCTGGTGGCGATCTTTGACATAGAAAAGGAGAATTGCCTATGACACTTCAACTTTGCTACTCAAAATTTTGGATACTGTGCTCCTCAGAGCATGGAGCGCTTGCCTAGAAATGCTTTTATTTAGCCACAATAGGCCATCGTTTTCTCGACCGATAAAATCGGTGCTGGATCTGGATATTCCTGAAGATCAATGAATGCTTCCTTCATATTCAAAGAAATAGGAAAGAAACTTCCTATGCAAAATGTGCCATTCTTAAATAGAAGACCTTAGTACTCCGATAAACAGTATTTTGGCGATGATCCCATGTCCGCTACTTTGTGGACTTTTTCATGTGATTCTGTCAATTCTGCCAAGAAAGTTCGTTCTATATGTATGATGCTACTTGATTTTCTGCCCAACTTATGCTTATGAATATGTAAGTAGAAAAGCCAAGCTAAGCTTTTAAAGCTTCGCAACGCCCCTGCATTGAAATACCGGAAAGTGAAAATTGCACTGAAACATTGGTTCGACGCATTAGGCACATCTCCACACTTTTTCATTTTGCATTGAGAAGGCACAGAATCTGCCTTCTCAAACCTTAACTGGATGTAGGAAAAATTTAGGGAAACAGCTTTTTAAATCGCTTGATGGCCACAAAAAAGCTTGACATCGGTTTTGCCACTGTACCTTTATTGTGAGCGATCAGAAACTGCTCCAAGGCCGTTAAAGATTTCTAGGGAAGCTTGTACTTTCGGCATCGCGTCGATTAAAAAAATGATAGAACATAGCTTCTATAGTATTTTTAGGTTTATTCTTATTATTCTCTTCTTCTGTGTTATGATTTACTTATAACAACAAGTTTATGGTTCAGCCAGTGCGGATATTGGAAAGTTGCCAGAATCAGGAAACTTTTAAGGAATTACAATTCGTTTTGCTGAATTCTCATAACGGTTCAATGTGCAAAGTAAGTAAGAAAAAACTCAGAATTTCTTACCGCTAAGCCAGAACTGTTAAAATACACTGTTTACGGGAGAATCAATGCAATTTTAAGTAAAAAATGGTCATCTGCCTTTGCGAAACTCGACTGTTTGATCTACATCATGAAATTAACAGTTGGCAAAATCTCAAAATCTGAAAACGTTGCCTGACGTCCATACTCAAGCACACTAATCCCATATTACAATCTTTTACAATACATCAATAGTCTGATCGATTTCCCGGTGTGCTCCAAATTTGCAGCTGAATTAGTGTAAACAAGAGCGTAAACCAATCTACTACGTCTACACCAGCTGCACTATTTTGTTTGCTCTTCGTGCAAAAAATGCAAGGGGATCTCCGCAAGTGCAATTTTCGTTTTTTCTTCATCTTTTTCTCCTGCTCTTTACAGGGGCTACCGCAAATTGTTCGCAGACATACTTTTGAGAATTTTTTGTCTGAACTGCAAATTGCACGCACAGGGTGTCAGAAGCGATCTCTCTGTATTCTTTTACTATCATCGGACTCATAACTCAGCATATGGCAGCCTCTTAATCATTGCAAACATCTTTTATGATCCAACTGCTCGTATTTCGTTAGCCGGTTTCTTTTTCATCGGAATTTCATTGAGATGAAAAGCAAGATTTTTCCATAACGGTGAATTTCACTACTCTTGCACATAATATGTAAAAATGAATGCGGTTCCGTAACCATTCTTATTCAAAAACTCCGCATCCGCGACAAATTTCTGTAGAAAACCATATCGTTTTGAAAAAAATGGCAAATTCACTTTTATCGGTTAATTCGCGAGGTCCATATCGCAAAAGCTATTTCAGCTAAACTCCTGTATTACTAGGAGCTAAACTCCTGTATTACTCCTGTATTACTAGGAGCATCTAATGTTGTGAGAGTTTAGCTCGAATTTGAAACGTTTGGGCTTCGACTGTTTGAAGCAAAATGAGTGAGCTCAAAGGCGAAGTCTAAAGAAGTCTAAAAACTGCCAAATTCGTTGGTTCTATATTTTAAAAGTAGAACACTCGTCCAGTAAGCTAGGATCATCTGAAATTTCAATCCGAATTTTCAAATAATACCTACTTACCTTGTCTTAGGTTAAATCCAGAGAAAATGTTCAAAAGTAAAAACTCGTATGTATTCTTTTTTTTAAGTTAGGCAATCTTGGATCAATTGAAACTTTAAATGGCATAAAACTTGCAGCATTAGTCATGAACTTTTGAATTGTCCTTATGCACATCCCTCAGTGTATGCCCATGAAATATAGGCTGGTTTTCCTGCTTCCTACACTAGAGAAATGTGTGATTTTCTATAAAGTTTGCTTCAGTCTAGTCATATATTAATATAATATAAAATATCAATAATACTAACATTATCAGTAATCTATCCTTAGTCTAATCACAATCAACAACAGGAAAGATAATGATTTGCGATTTTGAATTTCTGTGAGTAATATAACTTTCCTCACTGAGCGCCGTGAAAAAATCGAGGAATCTCACTGCCTTGCTTTGCTTCCTCAACATAATTATAATTTTTCCATAAATAGAGTTATCTTCTGACTCTCATTGATCTACTTTTCCAGGAATATCAGATATTAATAAGGTTTTTTGTGACAAGGCAACCGAGACTATTTTTTAGCCTTAATAATTCGTACCTCCACTCTCACTGTCTCCAATCTTTAATTCGGATTACTCAAGAAATTCCTGGTCATTGGTCATTCCATTCAATCCATTCATTCCATTCCATGCAATCCATTCATTTCATTCCATTCATCCGGATACCGGACAACAACCGTAGCGGCATCGATGGCGGTCTCGGCGGAGGTCTCCCCTTTCGCTTGCGGCCACCGTCTCCCGTCCTTGAATAGCGCCAGTCATTCAACGACGTGTCCCGTTTACCTCTTCAATTTCCTCGATTCATCCGCAATTGTGTCAACGGGCCAATCTCGACGCACCGCATCCACATGTGTGTAAGGACAAAACTCGTCCGCATTCCCGGGTAATACGTTTACGCGGGAGATGAGGTATATGTGAGCGATGCGCATTCGGTTATGAGACAGATCTGAAGTCTTTCATTTCAATGCTCTTTGGAACACTCTCATCACATTAAGAAGGAAGAAAAACTTGGTTTGGATGGTCTAATTAGTGGCTTTGTAAATTAGTGTACTTGCGCTGTCGACAATACTTGCGCAGAAAATGTCTGCGGAGCATAAGACTCAATAGCTTACGTGCAATGGATGTTTCTAACGCGCAAATGCTATGGGCACTGCTAGCATTTTGAACATCAAATGCACCAATATCCATATCAATTTTCAAAGAATAGTTCTTTTTCCTCAGTATTCTTTCCTCTTCTTTTTTTAGCGTACGCTGGTACAAATGCACCCAAAATTTTGCGGAAGTCTACCAGATGAAAGTGTCGCAGAACTCCTCAAATTTTTGAAGAAATTTCGCAGCGCTTTGTGAAAAACCTTGTGGGAACCCTTCTTTCTCGATTCATGCGCTTATTTAATGATTGAAATTTTGCAAAGCCGCTGCAAGTTTTTATTCGTCCAGCTCCGGATCGTCTGAAAAAATGCGAACTGTTTATTTCCTTTATCGGTTAAGGAAGTCTTTGACCTCGCAACCCTAATTCTTGGCAGAAAGAAACCCTATAGTCATCAATTCACGTCGGAAAATCCCAAAGCAATGAAAGGTGGACGTTAGGATTGGATTTGAGTAATGCGCTTCAGCCTCCTTCTGTCGACATAAATCATCCCCGTACCATAAATCTTAGACGACATTTACCGAATCCATCCCGAAATGGGCTCATGCATGTTCCATTTCGTTATGTCAGCCTCAGGAGACAGACTCACAAATCTTGCTGGGACTAGCTTTAGGCTAGAGTCTCTCCTCCGTTACCAGCGACATGGGCAAGGCAACCAGACAATTTCTCTACGTCGTTTTCTGCCAATTCTAATCAAGACCATAGATCCGTCCATACCGATCCAATTTTACTCGATTTAACACCGCTAGAGAAACTCTTGTGCTTGTGATTTTGGAAAATTCGAATTATAATCTCATGCCCTTAGTTTACGAGAGCCAAAAAATACATTGTATTAATTCAATAAAGGTTGAGGTCTATTTTCTGACTTTAGATATGCAATTGCATCCCTTAT